ATTGACAATGAGGAGGGCAAAATAGTAATTGTATACCTTTTTGACAAAATGACAATCATATCCCTATTTTTCCTATTTTTACTTTTTTTTAGTGCTACTAGACCCACCCAGTATCTTATTTTCTCACCCACATGATAATTCCACCCACCATAGAAAATTAAAAAAGTAAAATGTTATTTCCCCACCCACCATTATACCCAAAATAACCATAATATATTTTTTTAAATAACTCTAATATATCTTTAAATAATATTATAAATAAAAAAATAAAAAAAGAAAAAAAAAAGAAAGAAAATGCAAGACCTAAGACCTAAACATTCATCATCTCCTTCACACCTAACATCGTAATGCAGAGACCCCGGATCCCCAAACCACTCTTCTTCCTCCTTTTTTGTCAAAACCGCATATCTCACGCCCAATTCTCTTTTTTCTCCATTGAAGTTTCTCGCCTTCATCTAGCACACGCCCATTCCTTCCTCCAACATTTCCGTCGATTCTAACCCAAATCTTTCCCAATCTCTTTCCACCAAAGATATCACACCCCACCCACCATTATTTATTTATTATTTTAAATTATTTTTTGTTTTTTCAAAATTTTAGTATTGAATTAAATAGGGGTTTAAGAGTCTTCTTTTAAAATGATAAATATGTTATTAACATTTCCATTAAATGGTGGGTGGGGAAATAAGACACTGGGGTGGAAATATCACCACTCTTTTTTTTAGGACAAATTAGGTTCTCATCCTTACTTTTGCTACTCCATTGATTAAAACCTTATTTCTTTTCAATTTTTGATCAAGGTCCTTGGTATTAATAACATCATTAATTATTTCAATAATAAAATATTTTTTATTTCTAAATATATTCATTTAATGTTAAAAATGTTACAATTAGTATATTTATATTTATGGTTAAATTTTTATCATATATTTTTATTTTTATTTTTAGTTTGTACCCATTTTTAATTTGTACCAATTTTATTTTTAGTTTTAATTTGTACCCATATATTAATTTCTTTTTATGCCCATATTTTTTAAAGTTTTATTTGTATTTGTACCCATATTTTTTTATTTATTTGTACCCATTTTTATTTTTGCTAAATGTACACATGCTAATTATATGTACCCATTCATGTAATTTTTTCAAATTTTTAATCTTAAAATGTACTCATTCTTAAATATACCAATTTGTTATATGTAAAATGTACCATTTTTTATATATATAAAATCTATTCAATTTTTTTCTAATCCATTTTTAAACTTATATGGGTACATTCTTTTTTCTTTGATTTGAGAATGTATCCATTTTAATTTTAATCGAAGAAATTTACTAATATTATTAAGCCTAATATCTCTCTTTTTTTTTGGTGTGATTTTGAAGAATGTACTCATGTTTTGATACAATAATTTTATGGTTAATTTTGATGAATGTACCCATGTTTACACACACACACACACAATAGTATATTTATATTTTAATATTTTTAATCCCACAAATTCTGGTTTTTTTATTTAAAATCTCATTAATATAAACAAATATAAATATAAAATTTTAATTTAAAAAATATAATAATGTATATATAAATAAATTATTAAATTAATTTCAGAGACTCAGATCAAAAATCGAAAACCAACAAAGTTTTAGTCAAAGAATATTCATAGTTAGGGACCGCATCCAAAGTCTCCATTTTTTTAATAAAATGACAATCATATCCATTTTTTCCTATTTTACCCTCACTTTTGATACACAATATTTATATTTTTCCATATTCTTTTCCAAATTTTAAAAACTAATTATACTCCTTAATAAAAAAACAAAAAATAAAATAAAATTGTTCACACACCTAGTGTGTGCTCATCGCTAATACTTAATTATAAGAAGTACTATTAAACTCGACAATACTATTAAATTATTAATAATAGTTTTTTTCTTGACAACTAGAGATGTCTGAAATGATTGATACTTCAATCAGTTGTCTGCCGCTCCATAAAGAACTTTTACACGCAACTGCTTATTTTAAAAAAATTATTTCATTGAAGAAAAATGTTATTAGCATTTTAAAAATTTCATTCTATACTCCTTAAAAATGTATTTTTCTTTCTTAATATATAAAGTTTGGAGTGTAAAATAAGATTTTTGGAATGCTAATAATAATTCTCTTATTAAAAGCACATTGAATTTTCATTAAAAAGTCAAATGCTTCTTTTAAGCATTTTTTGAACCACAAAAACGCTTCCAAGTACTTTTACAACTCCGAAACACTAACATTTTGGTCATACGTTGTTGGAATTAATTTTGGTTACCTGAAAAGGAATTGGATCCCCTCCTGAGCAAATGGTGGGGATCCTCATGACCACACAACACAGACCGTTGAATTTTGATCAAACGGCTACAAACAGGGAGTCTTTTTAAAAATTATACTAATTATAACTGTTGGATCAAAATCTAATGGTTCATGTTATGTGCTCATGAGGATCCCCACCATTTGCGGATCCAATTCCATCTGAAAACACTTATAATAGTATTTCAAGCATATCCATATTTAATTGGTTAATAAGAGCCAATTCACTACCATTTGAAATCTGGTGGTAGGCTAGGTTGGGTCGTGGTAGGACTGGTTCAGTGGTTTATTGGGCCCAAAATTGAGGTCGGCCGGTTGAAATTAAATTTAATGAGTTTTACTTAAATCTCAGCTCTTCTTTTCTGTGAAGCACAGGAGAGTAAGGCTCTAATTCTTTATAAGATACCAAAACTTCCACAATAATCCTCCGCTGGATAGCCTTTGCCACTGTCCGCAAGGCATCCGTCGCAATCAAGTGGGGGATTCCTCGGAGGAATTTCCTCCATTTGGAAACTTGAATTTGGAAAACATGATGGAACCGTTGATGTTTTGGACACTAGAACACACCGTCAAGTTTCCTGTCAAACATACGATGTATAAGTTTACTCTACTATGACGTCGTTCATTGACAAAAAAAAAAAACTACAACGATAATGTTGTATAATTAACGTGAAAAGTCACAATGACAGTATACTAACGCCATGGTGATGGAAGCCGATAATTGGGGTTGTTTGGGCATCAAGATAGTGTTTGTGATAACAAGAGTGAGGTTGGGACAACTTCCCAACTAGACTGATTGGGATCTGTGGGCCGGTAGGGTAAGCTGTAAGCAAAATAGGCTGTTTTTTTGTGCTTTTCAATGATGCTTTCACGTTTGGATATTGAGAAATTTGGATCAAGCTCAAAAGGAGTAAGCACCCAATCAACTTTCTGCTTTTGCTTTTGGAGGGACAAGTTGCTAAAAGATCGCATGTGAAACTATTCCTAGAGTATGCCGACTGCATTCTGAATTTCTGATTGGCAAGGGGAATGCTTAAGCTTAGCTAGCTTGGAACGGCTGCTCCCAACATATATGGCTGTCTCCTCTTGGAGAGAATCTAACATGCACCAGGATCACGAAACCATGGGCTATGCTCCACTCTAAAAATGTAGTACCCACTAAAATAAAATACCTAGTACCTCTATTTGTACTTGCTAGTTCCGTCATTGCATATGACACAACTAATTATACAATACGCATTAGAATTATTATTCTCAGGATAAAATTTTGAGTGTAATCATTTCACTATATTCTTTTCTTCATCTCTCTCATTTAATAGACGGAATCATGAAACACTTACATAAGACAATATCTGCCCCTCCTAATTCTAAAACCCTAATTTTTATTGTGTGTGTTGGAATTAGGCAAACACGCACAATTTGCAAACGTTGTTTGTTAAGTATATAGATTCTATGCATTTAGTAGTTCCCATTCCCAAAGCAACATAGACTTGTTTGAAATTGCCTTTAAAATAACTGAAAGTGATTTCGGTGAAATTGATTTTGAATTCTAAAAGCACTAGATATGTGCACTTAAAATGTATTTTCTAGGACGCACTTGGTACTTCCAAAAACATTAGATTTTACTAAGGATTGGTTTCAAAAATATTTTCACCAAAAACGTTTTCGGTCGTTTTAAAAACACTTTCAAATGAGCTCACACACATCGAAGAAACAAGTAATTTAAGCAAAAACATGATAAATCCGATGAAGTTAATTACCTCCCAAAATTATTAAAATGGATAGGTATTGATTGAGTAGTTGGACTATTGGATCCACAACTCACCAAACATAGGGTAGAGATACGATGACGTGGATTCATAAATCCCATATGAAGTTATTGTGAACATGCTCAATCATATTCATGGGTCTCACACTCCATCTTTCCAAATCCAACAAGTTATTGCACACCCCCACTCATTTTTACTAATTTCTAAACTTATTTTGATTTTTCTTATCGATTTTTAATTTAGTTATTTAGTCTTAGGTAGACTTTCAATTTGATTATTATGAGCTCTTAATATAAAATGTAACAATTTACTTATTATAATTAGTCGTGTCAAATTTTTCCGTCAAATTAATATTTTACATATTATAAATTGCTATAAGAGTAGTAAATATAGTTATTCAAATTCTTAACTTCCTTGTGTTTACTAACACATAAAAGAATATACAAGTCAGGTCTTCATATTCATAATCAAATAGTCCCAGAATTAGAAATTTGATCACTTATTAAGGGATTAGTTGATTTGATTCTCATTCTTTATTTTCTTATGCTTAATTCGATACTAAATTAGGCTGCTTATTGTGTGGCTTAGCCGAAATCTCCCTCCTCCTATTGTAAAAATATCAATGTACTAAAAAAAAGCCCTAGTTAATTAACATAAATTTAATTGGGCTTAACAAATGTGACATTTTCAATATATTCAGTACTTGTTTGAAATATTTAAAAGGTAAAGACCAATTTAAAATGACGCTAAAAAGTTTGGAGTTTTAAGTACTTAATCCTTATTATTTTTATTTCATTTAAAAAGAAAAAGTGATTTGAGCAATAAAAAAAAAAAAAAATCGAAATTGTGAAGTAAAAAAAGATAAATGGAAAGAATTAGACAGTTAACGGACACCAACTCCCTCTTCCCACTCACACTCCTCCTCCCTCCCTCTTTATCCTCCGTCGCTCAATTATTATTTTATCTTTTTCTTCACGGAATTTAAAATTCCCCCAAATCCTTCCCTCCGAGGCGCCACGAGTTCCCTCTGCAACTCCGGTCTCCTCTGCCTACAACCACCGCCAACGCCAACGCCACCGCAAACCCAGCAAATCTCGCTTTTGTACACTGCCCGCCCACGAAATGGCCGAAACGGAGTCGGAGGAGCGGATGATCTACCTGCACGGCGACCTCGACCTCACAATCTTCGAAGCCCGCCGCCTCCCCAACATGGACATGTTCTCCGAGCGCTTCCGCCGCTGCTTCACCGCCTGCGACACCATCAATATCTCCTCCACCCCCTCCGCCGAAGACGACGGCGGTCACGACGGTGGAGAACGCAAGAACCACGTTCCCCACCGAAAGATCATCACCAGCGATTCATACGTCACCGTTACGGTCCCCCAGACCACCGTCGCCCGGACACGTGTCATGAAGAACTCCCAGAACCCGCAGTGGAAGGAGCACTTCTTTGTCCCGCTGGCGCACCCTGCAATTAACCTCGAGTTTCACGTCAAAGATGACGACGTCTTTGGCGCTGAGACCATCGGAACCGCCGAGATCCCGGCGGAGAGAATCGCCACCGGAGAGCTCATCTCCGGGTGGTTCCCCATTTACGGACCCTCCGGGAAGCCCCCGAAACCCGACTCGGCGATCAAGCTCGAATTGCAGTTCACGCCGTTCGAGAAAAACCCAGTGTACAAGCAAGGCATAGCGGGGGATCCGGAGCACAAGGGCGTGCAGAACACGTACTTCCCGCTCCGGAAGGGAAGCTCCGTGAGGTTGTACCAAGACGCGCACTGCCCTGCAGGGCTGCTGCCGGAGATACAGTTGGACGGTGGGAAGGTGTACAAGGCGGAGAATACATGGGAGGACATTTGCTATGCGATTACGGAAGCGCACCACTTGGTTTACATTGTGGGTTGGTCGGTGTTTCACAAGGTGCGGCTGATTCGGGAGCCGAGCCGGCCGCTGCCGCGCGGCGGCGACCTGTTGCTCGGCGATTTGCTCAAGTACAAGTCGGAGGAGGGCGTGAGGGTGTTGCTGTTGGTGTGGGACGATAAGTCCTCTCACGACAAGTTCGGCTTCAAAACGGTCACATTTCTAACCTGCATTGTAGTTATGAATTGCTTTTTTCTGCTTATATAACTGATATGTTAATCTATACGTTATGTCTTTGATTGTGATATTCATGTGCAAATTGGATTATTTAATTTGATTTCGGGTAACGGGGTGTTAGAAGTGGTATTTAATTAGTTAAATCGGGAGGTTTCACACCTTCAAAACTTGCCTAGGAAGTTTGCCATCATCTCTGAACTTTAAAAGTGCATTGTGTAGTTGTGGAATGCTTGTGTTAGTTTAAATACGATGGTCTGGAAATTGGGTCTTAATGTGAAGTTGGATTGGATGCAGGCAGGAATGATGGGGACACATGATGAAGAAACCCGGAAGTTTTTCAAGCATTCATCTGTAAATTGTGTGCTGTCAACTCGCTACGCTAGCAGTAAGCTTAGCATTATAAAACAACAGGCAGGTTTCATTATGACATTTTGTTGTTTTGTTTATTGACATTTTTTTTTCTTTTGCTATTTGCTCATTTGTTTAATGCAATCTCCATGATATGGATAATTGGTTGGTTTGAGAATAACTTTTTCATTGCAAGCCACTTACTGCTTTTATAGGAGATTTATTTTATTTCAGAATAGTTTATGGTTTACTTACGTTCTTTTATCTGAGGTGATCAACTTGCTGAATTTAACAAGCATTGTATGGGTTTGTACAGGTTGTTGGAACCCTTTTCACCCACCATCAAAAATGTGTTCTTGTGGACACACAGGCTGACGGTAATAATCGGAAGATAACTGCATTTTTAGGAGGTCTTGATCTTTGTGATGGTCGTTATGACACACCCGAGCACAGACTGTTTCGTAATCTTGACACTGTATTTAAGGGTGATGTTCATCAACCTACTTTTCCTGTAAGTGATTGGTGATGGGGTTTTGTTATCTGCATTGCTTCATCCTCTGTTTTTTGTATATTATTTCAGCACCTGTCATGAATTTCTTATACTTTTCTTTCTTGCAGTTCATTCACAAGCATCCTTTGTATATGATATTATGTTTTTTCAACGACCACTCATCCATAACTGAAAATTCTATTGTGCAATTCAACGATAATAAAATGAGACTGCTTTAATGCATATCTTTCTGCATTTTTGTGTTTTATTCTTGTGATAGGCTGGAACCAAGGCTCCAAGACAACCATGGCATGACTTGCACTGTAGAGTTGATGGGCCTGCTGCATATGATGTTCTTATAAACTTTGAGCAACGTTGGAGGAAAGCAACGCGGTGGAAGGAGTTTGCACTACTGAGTAAGAAGGTTTCACATTGGCATGACGATGCATTGATAAAAATTGACCGCATCTCCTGGATACTAAGTCCTCCCCTATCTGTTTCAAAGGATGGTACAACTATTCCAGAAGACGAGCCTTTGTTGTGGGTTAACAATGAAAAGATCCCGAAAATTGGCATGTTCAGGTGGAGATGCAACTTTCTTGCCCTCCTTTCTGTTGTTTTCTGTTTCTTATAATAATTTTACATAGGTGTGCATACACAGTACACACACAGATGTTCTATTGTTTCTGTAATAAAAAGGAAAATCAAGTTGGTTATTTTCTTCTTTATTTTGTAGATTTTCCGGTCCATTGACTCAGGATCACTGAAAGGATTTCCCAAAGCTGGCCGTGCTGCTGAGGCCAAGGTTTTTTATTGATTCCCCCTCTTGTCCGCCCTGTCTTCCTTTTTATACTTTCAAATGTATTGACTACATCTGATCATACCTCTTGATTGTAACTGCAGCATCTTATTTGCTCAAAGAATCTGGTAATAGATAAAAGCATTCAAACAGCTTACATCCAGGCAATCAGATCCGCCCAACACTTTATATATATCGAAAATCAGTATTTTCTTGGTTCATCATATGCATGGCCAGATTATAAAAATGCAGGTAAGATGACAGTGTGTAATGCTTGATTTCTAGGAATTATTGTTTATATTTTTTAGAGCAAAATTTTAGTTTTGTACAACAGTACAGTAGCTGGTTATTTCATGTGTGCATAGTTGCACTAGGAATTTATAGTTCAAGCATTTTGTACATGAGAACCAGCTCAATTTGCTGTCATATTATCCATAATTGACTAGAAATATTGAAATTTTGCATCTCCATTTTGTTTCATGGTGGTTTTACATGAATTATAGCCACAATGACCCAATATTGTTCCACCTGCCGCCTAACCAGTAACCACTTAGCTTATGTCAAATTCACCTTCTTCTATTTGCAAACATTTAAGAAAACATAGTGATTAATTGATGGTAAATATCTCTTTTCTTGTGATTCAAAATTATCTGAATATTTTCTCTCATTTCGTAAGCAGGAGCTGATAATCTTATCCCAATGGAGTTGGCATTAAAAATTGTTAGCAAAATTAAAGCTAATGAGAGATTCACGGTGTATGTCGTCTTACCTATGTGGCCTGAAGGTGATCCAAAAACTCTCGCAATGCAAGAAATTCTCTTCTGGCAGGTATGTGAATATCTATTATATAAATATACACGGAAAACACATGGTTGTTATTCGTTAAACAGGAATACTAAATTGGATGTTATGATAAAGAACGATGAACTTTTTGCTTCAATGTCATTGATTCTATTTGCTAGCAGCTTGAATATACGCCACTCTATGTTGCCTTGTTGAGAATCAATGAGAATTTGTTCATGGAAATTATTGGCTCAGAATTATTTATGTAATGTTGTTCACAACAGTGTTGGTATCTAATCTTAGATGTCTATGATAAGGGACTTGAGAAGGGCATAAGAAATAAGAACCGAAAGGATACATGAAAGTTTCTTTCTGACTTGTCTATGTTTGCATTTTGCAGAGGCAGACAATGCAAGCAATGTATAGTACTGTTGCAGCGGCACTGAAATCGGTGCAGATTCAGGACTCACATCCTCAAGATTACCTAAGTTTCTATTGCCTTGGTAACCGGGAAATACTTCCTGAGGATACTGCAAATGACGATGCGTCTTCGGTAACTATTCGAAAATATTTGTCATCTGCACCATTTTAACAGTCTAACTCATTGAATTCTAGCTTCTTTGGTTGATCTAAGTTAAATTGTGGTACCTTGATCCCTATGGCTAGTAACAAAAGAACGAAATGGTTACTAAATGGGTTCGAAGGTTATTGTCAAAATCTGTCACCTGTACATTATATTTTGGAATGGATAAGATATCTTCTTCAGTTAGATATTTACTTTAATTTATTATCTGCGACAAACTCTTTAGATGTTCTTCATAATGAATTTTTCTTTCAGGTTTCCGATTCACAAAAAAATCAGCGGTTTATGATTTATGTTCATGCCAAGGGTATGGTAGTAGATGACGAGTATGTAATATTGGGATCTGCCAATATCAACCAAAGATCAATGGCTGGTACAAAGGACACTGAGATAGCCATGGGTGCGTATCAACCCCATTACACATGGGCTGCGAGGAAGAAACATCCGCGTGGTCAGGTCTGTAGCTTTCTGTATTTCTCTCTTGCTTTTTGCAACTTGTAATTTTAGGATTCTTTCTTGGCTGAGTCTGAGGAGGATACTTATCCAACAATGGCCCACTACCTTTACCGTCCGTGAGACTTAACTAGCACTAGATGTCGTAATTGTTCTTGTTTGGTTTAGAGTAGCGGTTCCTTCTTGCCCCTTTATTCCATTATTTTCAAAGAACGAGTTAAATTGCATTTTAAGCTAATTGTCTTACAAGTTTAGAACTTCTTGTTGTCTCCAAATATTCTGATGGTATATAACAGAAGGAAATAGTGAAATACATGCTTTAATGAGGACTTCCAATCTTCCATTTATGCAGATATATGGATATCGAATGTCACTTTGGGCCGAGCATCTTGATATGTTGGATCCATGCTTCGAAGAGCCTGAGAGTTTGAAATGTATGAGGAAAGTAAATGAGGTTGCAGGCGAGAACTGGACGAGATTCACATCTCCAGAGTTTACACTACTGCAGGGTCACCTTATGAAGTATCCTATTGACGTAGATGTTGATGGGAAGGTCGGCCCCCTGCCGGGACATGAAAACTTCCCTGATGTTGGTGGTAAGATACTTGGATCTCATTCCAACAAAATTCCTGATATGCTCACGACATAATCTCTCGACACTCTTATGTTCATACGTGATTCGTGCAATAAAATTCGAAGCGAAACATCGCTTCGTCTGAGTTAACAGATGAAAATAGTGGGTGTTCTTTGTTGTTGATTAGGTTTTGTAAATTTGTACTGTGAAATGATGGCGCTTTGTATTGTATCTGTGCACGGAATTTCGACGGTGTGAATGGTGAAGTAGCATTAATTTTCTTTTTCTGTAGCAGTGATTTTTTATTTACTTTTTTGCTGTATAATTATATTTACTTACTATCAGTGCTTATTTCTGAAGTTGAAAATGAATTAATTTGAATTTTAAAATTAGAAAAAAAAAAAATTTCAAATTATATTTTTAACGATATTCCTAACTATTATAAGACATTGTGTTGAATCTGTTGACCAATTGACCTAACTCATACAGAACGTTTATTCCACAATCCAAAAACTTATCCTTCAATCATGTTTTCGATTTACCCAATTCATGAAAAGTATTAATTTACAGGATAATTGATAAGTTGGGCATTCTCGACTCATTGGGTGAAACCGGTGGATTTTCTGTCACGATTGGCTAAAGCGAAAGTTACATTAAAAAGCGTTTTCACGGGTAGAACCTCCTCATGAATATAGGTTTTCTTGAGGCTGATCTTGAGCCGTCATCGAAGCACGAATACACTTCACTTGAGTGAATATTTTAGGTGTAGAAAGTTTCAAATTCAAGATCTTTTGATGTACGAGTTTCCTGAGAAACAAGGTTATAGGCACGTAGGTTCAAGTTCAAACCTACTACTCCTAGAGCACTCATCTATAAAGCGGTTACTGATACAAATAACTGATGTTTTACGATAATTTATGTAACTAAGAGAGCAAATTCAATCATCTAAATCATTATGTTTTTCCACTCAGTACTACGATCTGGTGGTATTCCTCTTCACTTGGAAGTGAGAGGTCTTATGTTTGAATCTTGTGGATGACGAATTCGATGCCAAACTAGGTTGTCAATTGTGTGTCTTAATCAAACTCTCCCTCCCCCTAATGTAAAAATATCGATGTATTAAAAAAAATCATTTTGTTTTGGTCTCAAAAACTTGTTATGTTTGTCTTTAATATAAAGAAAAATCACACCCAATAAATATGTGCCTCGCCGTGTGGGATCGTGTCTCGAACATATATAAATGTAATTTCCAGTTCAGCGCCTTCCCTTGCAAGAATGCTCATTGACCCCAAACCCTAATTCCCTCGATTCTTCTCTCTCTTCTTTCTCTCTCTAGGGCTCTTCGCCTTTGCCCTCTGAAAATGGTAATCTCTCTAACCATATTCTGCAGCTGTTGCATGCTCGATAAAAGTTCAAATTTTTAATGCGATTTTTATTTTTTGATATTTTTGTGCAGGCGGATTCTCCACGCAAAAAGTAAGCCCTAAAATCCCAATTCCTCTGTTCGATTTCTGGTTCCGAATTGCACCCTAACATGTTTTTTGACAGAAATAATTGCACTTTAACATGATAGATGCATTGAAGCTTTCGATCTGATGGAATTTATAATTTGCTGTGGGTTTACTGTTTTTTGGGTGATGGGAACAATTTTTTGCTATGTTTGTCCGTTTGATTGGTTACCTCTCATTTTTGTGAATTTTGTGTCGAATTCGATGCTTTAAGGCCCCTTCCTAGGTAAATATAAGAAAGGAAGCACACAAATTCCATGTTTTAGGAGCTTCAATCTTACCTGAAAGTTTTAGAAATACAGTTGATAGATATGCGGGAGTGAATGTGGCGCATGTTAGAAAATCATATGGCTGTGCTTTATGTACCTCGCCGTAGTCTATGAAAGATATTTCTATGGGAAAATTGAGGGTTTATTTGGGATACCGTCTAATGGCGCAACTGTTCTTACACGAGAGGATTTGTGTTCCCCGTCTAGGTGCTGTAATTTTAGCATAGTTGTTTGTAATTCGCTACTAGACTTGGAAGTTTTCACTTTTGAGTTATATTGATATATAGCATGAAGTGACCTGAGAGTTTTATGCTCTTTGATTATTGGTTACTTTTTCCGTTTTGTTCACTAGGATGTTATAAATATGGCCCGTATAGTGGGGCTAAATGCCCAATTATGAATTGTTACACTATTGAATCTGGGAAGCTCCAGTTATGCGGGGTCTCATATGATTCCATTTCGATTGGTTTGTTGTACGATCCACGTGGCTTGCTTTTCTTGCTTGGAACATTCTAGGGTATGTTAAAACCACATTCTAGGGTCTGTTAAAACCACACTATAGGCAAACGTTATTTTGTATGGTATATTGGCTTTGAGTTTGTCGTCTTCATTATGTAGATTCACTATGCAGACTGCAGAGGGGTTCAAATCAGATTATCAATGGTTAGTTTTTATTTATTTGATGTTTCTCATGTATTTTATTTCATGCTTATGGATAAATCAGGTATTCTCGATCCCCTTCTCCATGGAGAGCTCAGTCCAGGTCCAGGTCTAGGTCTTGGTCTAGGCCTCGATCAAGGTCGAGATCATGGTCTAGGCCACCAAGGCAGAGGTCTCGCTCTAGAAGTCGTGGCAGGTTGATGTTCATCTTTGGCTTAAATGAATTTTTCACTATATTACTCATTGAATTTAATAACTTTAACTTCCATGTGCCACTTATATTTCTGATACATGGTTGGCATCTTTTGGTGCAGATCAAGGTCCAGAAGTCCTGGCAGGTTGGTGTAAGTTTTGGTTTTGCTCTTGAGTAGTATACGTGTTTTTAAAGTTGAATCTTGTCAAACCTTCTTTCAATTTATGGCACTGATATTTTTCTGTGCTGGCCACATGGTCTGACGGTGCTGCTAGTGCTCAACTCAGTTGTTTTTTTGTGTGGTAGGTCTGCTGCTATAAATCCTGGAAATACACTGTATGTGACTGGCCTATCTACAAGGGTCTCCGAGAAGGATGTTGAAAGGCACTTTTCAAAGGAGGGAAAGGTGCTTCTATTTTATTGTTTTTTTTTAATTTACTTGTTTTAAAACATTTTACTAAATCTTGGTTTAATGACAAATTGTTTTCATTTATAATTCGTTTTTGTTTTTCATTCTCAGGTAGCTTCATGCTTTCTTGTTATGGAACCTAGGACTCGGATTTCTCGTGGTTTTGCCTTTGTTACAATGGACTCTGTTGAAGATGCTGAACGCTGCATTAAACATCTCAACCAGTCAGTTCTGGAAGGTCGATACATAACTGTTGAGAGGGTAATGTGATTTTAATATGGTGATAAACTTTAAACCATTTGGTTGGTTTTTCCTTTTCTTGACTTGGAAGTTTTCTGGTTATATTCAGAAGTCATTGCGTCAGCTATGTTGGCAGCAATCACAGATGATGAGTTTATCCACATCAACTTTAGTGAAACAGCTTGATCAATGGCAAGCTTAAACAGCATTTCAAATGCGCCTGATCAACTAAACACAACTATATTCCAACAACCATACAACTTCAGCATTCACTTTCAAATTTCAACCCTCAACTAATCCACCGACATTACGAACAACTTTCTAATCAGGCTTTTATGGTATTTCATAACTGGCATTTGTTTTATGGACACTAATCGTATCACGTATATGTGCCTGGATATCCTGTTGTTGTTTCTGTATCCAGATTTACCACTTCATTTCGATAAAAAATGAGGTCACTTTGTGGATTATTATTTCCGTTGTTTTTCCAACTTTGTTTATGATTCTCTTTATTCATTTTGAGATTCTGTACTGGATGTTTCAGTAATTGAGGATTTATAATTATTTCAGTCTCGGAGGAAGCGACCAAGAACGCCAACACCTGGGCATTATCTTGGGTTGAAATACTAGAGACTATGGTATGTTTGATACGCCTTTCATAATAAGGTAGCTGTTCCCTTTCTGTGATTTGTTTGCCCCCCCCCTCATTTTTAAATATCTGCATGTGTGACAGGCGACCGAGGTGATCGTGTTCGAGATCGTGAACGTGATCGTGGTAGGTACCGCGGGGGCTCAAGTCGTGATGACTATGGATATCGGAGGTCACCAAGGCGCTCACCCTATAGAGGTGGCCGCGATTATTCTCCTAGGGGCGGCTCACCTTATGGCGGAAGATCAAGAAGAGAGAGGTCTTATTCTCCATATGGCAGCCCGGAAAGGAAGTATGCCCGCGGCTCCAGATGAGTATATGAGCTGTATCTCCTGTCCGTCAAGAGTTACTAATCTGGAAACATGATGTAGCATTGTATTGATCTGTCTTGGAGTCTGATGTTTGTCTTGTTTCGTTTTCTCGTGTTTTTGTACTGAGTTGTAGGATTGCTGGTTTTTTACTTTGGATATGGGATTGAAATAATATGTGGCTTGTATGTCGTCGATTTTGAGTGATAAATCACACCGCATTCGCAGACAGCTACTGATGTAGCGTTAGGCACGAGCCCTTACCATCAGCATGCTCCAACAAAATTAATAATTTGTTAATCTTTTAGTTCTTACATTGAAGGGTTTACAATAATGTTGTAATAATGTTGTGAAAATGAGGATATATGTGCAGTAGAATATAAAGTAAATGAGACAGTATTTACGAGGTTCGATAAATGTGTTTACGTCCTCGGAACAGTAGCAGTAGTCTCTCTCAAGAAAGGACCGGGGAAGGGGGGCGGGGGCCAATTATGCATGTACTTTTTATCAAATAAAAATTACAAACCAATAGAAACAAGGAGATTGTATGTTTTTTTTTCTATATTGCTTCTTTTACATTTGTGAACTAAGGGCGCGTTTACTAATCCGTAATCAAATTGAGAGGAATCGGATTGAGGAGGAATTTGATTGAGGAAGAATTGAAATGAGGTGGAATCAGAATTAGATTCTTGTTAAAATTGTTTACTAAAACTGTCTGGAATCGGAATACAATTCCATAAAGCTGTTTACTAATTCAGCAGAATCGGAATATAAACCAGTATGATTACTAAAATGCCCTTGTCCCAAATCAAATATTTTATATACTTTTTTTTAATAAAATTTGATATAGTATATAATAGTAACAAACTGATTCTGCATTGAGTAACAAACTGATTCTGCATGAAGTAACAAACTGATTCTGCATGAAGTAACAAATTGATTCTGCATGAAGTAACAAACTGATTCTATATTGAGTAACAAAATGATTCTGCATGTATTTACAGAGTTACTTTAGATCGATTGAATTTACTCTAGGTCGACTGAATTAATCAACTAACCGTTCCAGAACGTTAGATATGGTAGCGTGAAAAGGGAAATAATACTCTAGGGTTAAAAGGATAATCTTGGAAATAATGAAAGTAAGTGAGGGCATAAAGGGAAAAAAGTTAGCATTCTGATCCCCCAAGCCATCCGGAATCCAAATACCTCCTTTATCTTAGGAATCCAAATCAGCCAAATATTGGAATTGGATTCCAAAATTTGTGTGGGACCCACTAAATTTTGATTCCTCCAGATTTAGTAAACACCGGAGTATACCGTAATCGGAATTCAATTCCGTTTCTTGATTCCGATTACCCTTACGTAAATGCGCCATAATGTCTTTATATAGAAATTGTGAGATGTGTTGTTTAGGAGAATTCAGTGGAAGTCTTTGAAACTGTGTACGTTTTTACTCACTTTTTTTTACTTTGTCTATGCATAAAGGTCTATAGTGTCATTCATTTTTACAACAAATATAAATTTTTCATTGAAATTAATATTGTTTTTAGAACCAAAATATTATATTGAGAATGTAATTTTCTCCAACATTTTCCATGTGTCTTTAGAAGTGGGGCGATGGAAAGTCAATTTCTTTTGGTTTTTTTTAACGAAAATCATTCTTTTGTCTCTATCACTTAAAAGGTTTAGCTCAACACTCTGACTTCAATGATGGGAACCACTCTCGTGCCCCGACGCTTTAATGAACAATAAGTTTCTGTCTTACTATATTTAGAATAGTGGTCGGGGCTTTTTAGTGCAACGCTCTATAGAACAATGAAGTACTGTATCCATACGAACTTTGACTCTCAATAGCTAAAAATAAATAAATTAATTAAACTTGTATTATAAATAGGCAAAAGTTAGAGAGATAACCTTTATTAAGGATATGAACGAAGCGGGTGTAAAATATCACATTATTTTGTTTCGTAACTATAACATAAAATGGTTGCAGATAAAAAGAGGAAGGGAGAGATACTGATATTGTTACTTTCAGTTCTTTTCTCTTTCAGTTGTATGTTGAACATTCACATAGTGCTCTATTTATAGAATCACATCCGTAAGTTTATAGAAAATGAAAATCACACAAGTGACAAACCAAACAATCATTTTTGATAAATCACTTTTGAAAAAGTACAATACAACAAACTATTTTCTACTATTCTCATATAGCATTCAATTTCAATCATCCTCACAATTTTTACAACTTGTTCATTTATGTTACCTTTTAATACACATGCATCACTATAGAATCTCAAGTGTTCATATCTTAAAAAATCTAAACTTTTCTTAACTAAACTTTAACTTTAAATAGTTACAGTAACACTTAATTTACTTGCAATGATACTTCAGTAATAATACTGTAGAAACACTTGCATTTGAATAACAAGAATGTAGAAACACTTGCAAAGTTGCAAAAACACTTGACAAAAATCCTTAATTAAATAATACATGAAGTTGCAACATAAATGTTGAGGAAAAAAAATATGAATATTAAGTTTGTATAAACATTTAAAACAAGTAATGCTGTAAAATTAGTATGAATGTCCACATAAAATAAAGAGCCATATATGCTTAAGGATGAAAAATAAAAGAATAAAAGTTTATTATAAATCAATGGATGCCCACTTAACAAAAGGGATCCACACTCAACGGCTGTCCACTAAACAAGCAAAGATGTCCTCCCACTAGGAGTTGTTGATACTTGTTTTCATTACCCTTTTATTTTATATAAATACAAGACATATGGAATGAAGAAAGTGTGAACAACAACTCAAGCCACACGGCTAAGAAAAGAAAAAAAAAGAAGGCTCGTGGCAGAGAGAGGAAAAAGAGAGGAGAGAATAGAGAGAGTTATCTTTGTAATCTTATTATTTCAGATTATAAATGAAAGCATTACTATTGTCCCGATGACGTACTCCAATCACACTGACTGTTGAGGAACCTCGTAAATTTTGTGTCTTGTTTATTTATTCCACTGCACACTGTCAATTTTACAACATGTTATCAGCACGAGAAGCTCTCGTATCAGTGGAAAGCACAACGCTACAAATCAGGTTCACCTCTGTCGCTTGGAATCTCACAGATAAGAAAATCCTTTCATTTCATCCTAAAATCTTTGTACTACTGATTTTCTTGAAGCAAATATATATTGTTGTATGACTATATATCATCCTTTGCAGAAGCAAAATAGTACAAACTCAAAATTCGTAAAGAATCTGACAGCCATGTAAACATCCTCGAACTTAAACTTGCAGAACTCGGATTGAAATATTTTCTTTTTCAAAGTTGCTCGTCTGCCCAGCACCTACAACATATCAAATTTTCAGAAAATTCCAACAGTGCGATCATCAAAGATGCCTGAAATGCCAAACCAGTTTTCAATTTCTGTAGAAAACAGGCACCTTATGAGTACCAAAACTCCATTTTGGTAGCTCTGATCGAAATTGTTTCTTCACAAAAGTTGTTCGGTATCCTCTTATCCATATCATACTAAAATTTGAGCTAATTTAACATTTTGATCTTCTCATAAGTTGCAAACACTCTTAACTCCAAAACTTATTGGAACCGTTTCGACTTTTGATATTCTCATAAGTTGCAAACAAAAGATGAGGACTTAATCATTGCATTTTTCTGTTTTGGCATATTTATGTGCATGGTGTTGGTTTAAAGCCCTATCACAAGTTTTGTTTATTTACAGTGGGTAGAATTATTAGATTTTGCTTTAAAGCTTTGATATTTATGTGAATGGTGCTAAATCAAAGCCCTTGTCACAAACTTTATTTACTTAAAAGCAATTTATTTACCACGGCTGGAATTACCGCCTATTGCTTTAATTTATTTATTGTACTTCTTTTTGTTACGATAAGTACATACTGGACCCAAAGTTTCTTGATCAGATCAGAACCTGAAGTTTCTTGATCCTCATCACATAAAATGATTAGACCCGAAGTTCCATTATGCAAAAAGATCAGGAATGAAGTCCCCAGATCCTCAAGATTGGACATGAAGTTCCTTGATGAGTACCTTAAGTTTGAAGAGCCGAAGTGCCACAACTTAATTGTAATAAAGGCCATGAGAATCCCAATTCATAGACTATTAAATAAGGACCAGAAGTTCATTGATTTATGTAAATTATGATATAATGCATATTTAATGGAGAGTTTACATCTCAAAGTTTTGATGATTATTGCATGTCATTGGGCACTGATGTTGAGCATCATCTTCTTCATGTTCATACTCAAAATGATTTAGCAGAGTATTTATTAAGCGGATGAAATTGATTACCCGCGCTCTGCTCATGAAAAAGAAATTGCAAGATGGGGACATACCATTTTACATAATTCATTATTAAGCTCGGTTAAGACCAGTTGCCAACCATCAATATTTCTCAGTACAATTCGTGTTTAGGCACCAGCCAAACATTACACATTTACAAGTTTTTGGTTATGTTATCTATGTGCCTATTACACTGTCATAACGTACTAAAATAAGGCATTGATACAAACTGGGAATTTATGTTGGATTTGATTCACCATCTATCATTCAATATTTGGAACCCTTGAGTGGGGATATATTTACCACATGATTTGCGGACTATGATTTTGATAAGACAGTTTTCTGGCCATTAAGGGGAGAAACTAACATCATTCCAGAAGAACGATGAGAAAATATCATTCCAGAAGAATGATGAGAAAAGACCGTTCCAAAAGAACGAAGCGAATTTGTTTTATTTTGATTTATGAAGCAATCAATATAAAAACGAAGCGAGAATGATTAAATGATGTAACGATATGCAAGTCAAATGCCATGCATTTAATGATGCAACGAAAGTGATAACATCACATATACTTGCTACAAATGTGCCTACAAGAATTGATGTCCATGCTGGACAAAATAATGAAGCAGTAAATGAGTTATCTGTTGCACGTCTGAAACATGGCAAACTCTCAGACTCAAAATGTTCAGTCATTCGAAAGAAGAAGAATATGGCACTACTGAATTATTGCATTCCCGAAGCATAATTGTTGCATGTCAGAAGCATGACAGTCGCCGCATGGATACACGTCCCAGAAAGGACAATCCGAGGACATGAGAATGTTGATGTCTTATGCATGAAGCATGATAGACATATAGGTTCCAAATGACTCGACCCTTCAAAAGTGGAGATTAAAATCCAAGCTCTATAACGCTACAAAGTAGGTTATGATCCACATTCTCTAAATTATAACTATCCTGGGAGAGATAGTATAATGCTCTTGAAGAGGCAATAGATATCCAAAGAAATGAAAAGTTTATATGCATGCGCATGCACATAAGAATATGGGATAACAGATTGATAATAACCAATGATAATTTTGGTTTTTACAAGTAGCTAATAAATTCATCAAATGAGCTGTGTTGATATTGAGTCCCGTTCTTTTTTTCATGAAAGGAAAAATTATTGGCCAAAGATGGAGAAATGCAATTCCATTACAATTTTGTAAGAACGTGGAAAAATAGACCTATATACTTAAATACAATACAAATAGCCAAAAGATGTTGAACCTAGAAGGTTATATATGTGCATTTGTAATACAGTGAAATACACTCGCATTATATGACACAAAGTTACTAATTAAAACCTGAAATTATACTCTTGTAAATGAGTTCATATGAATGGAGAATTATATATGAAGGGTTGTGAGTCATCCATATTATATCTCCATAAGTAAATCCCTCAACTATACATGGGAGCAAATTGCTCTGTATATACTCCTGAAGAGTCGATGACATTAAATTGGGACTTCTGAAGAGTCTAGAAAGATTATAATAGATCGAACAATATGCCAACACGAATCTTATCCATGATGTTTATGATATTAAAAAATCATATGGATTGAAGATCACGAGTTGAACACTCAAGTGGTTATTAATATTTAGACACTAAGAAAAATCATTCATCCTCGTGAGGGAAAAATTGAATTGATATTTAGTCCAGAAGTACCACATCTAAGTAAAGTATATGCTTTATTGTATTTAACGCAAACATTGAATGAAATAAAACTTATCTATTAATATCTCTGAGAAATTACACATGAGTTATGTTTATACCATATTTAGGGCCTCGTATTTAGACCTCGTATAAATACTCGAGGGACTTAAATGTAATTATGTAATAAAGGAAATGGCAAATATGTAATTAGGGGAGGAGCCCTTATTCTATAAAAGGGCCTCCTCACCCTCACAATTCCTAGGCCTGAGATCCCCTCTCTCACCCTCAGAAGCTCTCAGAAGCTCTCACCCTCTCCCTCTCTATTCCCTCAAATAAATACATAATCAGTGTGGACGTAGCCCAAACCTTGGGGTGAACCACGATACATCTTGTGTTATTTACATTTCATGCAGATTCACGGTCGGATTTACGTTGTTCCAAGACTTCCGGTTTTGTGCATCAACATTTGGCGCCGTCTGTGGGAAACGACATGAAAAGTTATGTCGGTTATCTCTTAAATTTTCATCTCACCACTGTGAAAACTTCACAACATCCACTGTGAATCTACAGAAACCCAACACCCACACTCAGAGACACCACCATCTCTCTCTGGCTAGGCAATTATCTGCACAAGTTCCACCCCTCCCACCAACTCCTTTTATGCAAGAAAACCCGACTGCCAACACGTGGAATTGGTGGCCAGGCAAGCGCGAAAGACGGGATTGATCATATTCTAAAACTCTCTCTTTCATCCTCCCCTTGAAACGTGCAGGCCCTCTTGGTGACAGGTCTCACTCCCAGTTTTTTAAAAAAAAAAGCAGATCTCCTTGACGATGCTTTTAGTCCTTCCAATCATCGTCGCCTCCGATGGAATCATCTAACGGTCCAGATTCCATTGATAGGTTGTCATCCATTGACTTTTCATATTCTCAACAATCTCACTGCCGTACTACCCAAATCTCCCTTTCTTGGTTTTGGATTTGAACCCACAACAAATCCCCTCAAAAGCTCGCATTCTTACACAAAAAACCCAGAAACCCCAAGATCAGAATCCATGCTTCTCTGCTTGAAGCTCCGGTCCTATGGGCTAGCAGGCTCTACATCTTCTACACTCTCTTGAAGACTGGTTTGGCTGGATCTCCAGCTAGCCCACTTCTGTCATGTGCAGCCGTGCAAGTCCAGAGAGATAGGAGAAGCTTCGTTGCCTAACCCTGAGTTTTTAGTACGTGTCAGGCACTGCATCGGCGGTCGGAATTGCCACCGGAAACACGTAGAGGACGGTTAACAATGGCCGAGCAGAAAGAAAGCGACGGCTCATCGTCGCTGCACGGCAAGTACGAGTTGGGCCGTCTTCTGGGTCACGGCACTTTCGCCAAGGTTTACCATGCCTGATACCTGCCTAGCGGGAAGAACGTAGCAATGAAGGTGGTGGGGAAGGAGAAGATGATTAAGGTGGGGATGACGGAGCAGATCAAGAGGGAGATTTCCGTGATGAGGATGGTGAAGCACCCTAACATCGTCGAGCTCCACGAGGTCATGGCAGGAGACAATAGTGTCGGCAGCCCACCAACCCCAAGGTCATGGCAAGAGACAATGGTGAAGCACCCCAACTCGATTCCAGTACAACCTTCTGGGCTCGTATCTTGGCATGTCGCCGCCTGCCACAGTCCTTCCATTTTCTTGGTTGAAGCAGCAAGTTCCACATCCATGAGCCGGTGAGGAGCCCACCTGGGCTGTTGCTGGTGTATGTGCTGTTATCATCATCATCTCATTAATTTTGGAGAAGGTCCTACACAAAGTTGGAAAATTCTGCACCTAAAAAGAAATGGAGGGCACGACAAAAGAAGAAGAAAATGGAGGAAATGAATAAAGAAAGAAAAAGGTGTTAGTGGAATTGTAAACAATTCCACAAAGAAATGGAAGACTATTCTGCACCTAAAAAGAAATGGAGGGCACGACAAAAGAAGAAGAAAATGGAGGAAAGGAATAAAGAAAGAAAAAGGTGTTAGTGGAATTGTTAATTCCACAAAGAAGTGGAAGACACGGCAAAAGAAAAAGAAAATGGATGTCTGGAGAAAAGCAGAAAGTAAAAGCAGAAAGTAAAAGCAGAACGCAAAAGTAAGGAATAAATACCCCACCAGAATGATGTGATTTACTTTTTTGACAGATGTATGATGTAATTTTTTTTTTATCTCTCGGAGACATCTATATAAACCCCATCAGAGGGTAATAATACCAAAAAAAAAAATACGGCAAAGCCCAAAATTAATGGGCTGGCATGTCGTGGAGGGCGAAGGCCCATAAGCCCAAAATAGCACCCACCAGGTGACCAAAAGCATGCCCAGTACTCCAAAAATTATTCGGCAACTTGCCGCTATTACCACCAACTAGGTGACCAAAAGTACGCCCAGTACTCCAAAATTATTCGGCAACCCGCCGCTATTGCCACCAACCAGGTGATGAGATGTACAAACCGTACTCTAATTTGGCAACTAGCCATTCATGCCACCAACCAGGTGATCAAAAGTACGCCCAGTACTCCAAATTATACATGAGCATTACTCATGTCATTCATACATAAACATTCATGAGCATAACTCATGACAATCACATTCATGAACATCACTCATGACAATCATACATAAACGTTCATGACCATCATTCATGTCAACATTCATGAGCATCACTCATGTTAACATTCATGAGCATCACTCATGACAACATCTATGAGCATCACTCATGTCAATCAACATAAACATCCATGAGCATCACTCATGTCAATCAGCTTCAAAAGCTTCATTTACAGAGCTCTAGCTTCAAAAGCGTCATTTACAAAAGCTCTAGCTTCAAAAGCTTCATTTACAGAGTTATAGCTTCAAAAGCTTCATTTACATAAAGCTCTAGCTTCCAAAGCTTCATTTACAGAGCTCTAGCTCCAAAGCTTCACTTGCAAAACTTCAACTACAAAGCTTCAGTGCAAGATATACAAATACTGCCCCCGAACAACCGCCACTTCGGCCCATACATGGATTCAATTTGAAGTCTCCAGCCAACAGACTCTATTGACTGAAGACTTGGGGGACTACAGTATGTACCATATATTGGGCCTCAACTGGGCCTCATGAAAAATACTCGGGGGACTTAGCCCATTACTTATAAAGGGGCGAGCCCTTATTTTATAAAAGGGACTCCCTCACCATCATTAGAGAGCATCAACTCTAGCCCATCATCTATGTATTGAGGAGTGAACCCTTATTCTATAAAAGGGACTCCCTCACCTTCAAACGCCACAAGCCGAGCCAACCAAGGCAACATAAGCCACAAGCAGAGCAGTCTCGCAGCATGTGCTACTTCTGGTTGAGCATCATTGCAGATTGAGCACCGCCTTACATCGAACATCAGTTCAAGACAACATCTAGTTACTTCGGCCCACACATGGACTGAAGTTCAAGTCTCCAGCCAAAAGACTCTATTGACTGAAGACTTGGGGGACTACTGTTTATACCATATTTAGGGCCTCGTATAAATACTCGAGGGACTTAAATGTAATTATGTAATAAAGGAAAGGGCAAATATGTAATTAGGGGATGAGCCCTTATTCTATAAAAGGGCCTCCTCACCCTCACAATTCCTAGGCCTGAGATCCCCTCTCTCACCCTCAGAAGCTCTCAGAAGCTCTCACCCTCTCCCTCTCTATTCCCTCAAATAAATACATAATCAGTGTGGACGTAGCCCAAACCTTGGGGTGAACCACGATACATCTTGTGTTATTTACATTTCATGCAGATTCACGGTCGGATTTACGTTGTACCAAGACCTCCGGTTTTGTGCATCAACAAGTTAAAATGAACAAACAGGAGGTGAAGGAGAACGAAGGGGATGGTGTGAAATCGAGTGACCGAGTTGCGCCGAAGAATCCGAGGTGGGCAGTTTATGGGAAGGGATTGGAGGATGTTGCAGAGTTCTTTAACAGTGGGAATTATGAGCCTAGCGTTAAGAAATCTGAAGGTAATTGCTTATTTGTACTGAAATTTTGGATGGGATTGTGATTTTTTTCGAATTTTGTTTGTGCCATACTTAAAGCCTCCGTATTTAGACCTCGTATAAATACTTGAGGGACTCAAGTGTAATTATGTAATAAATGAATGGGCAAATATATAATAAGTGAGGAGGCCTTAGTCTATAAAAGGGACTCATCACCCTCACAATCCTCAAGCCTCACATCCCCAAACAGAGGCTCTCATATTCAGAGCATCCCTCTCTCAACTCTCTTCCTCTATGAACCCAACAGAGGGCAATACCCTAAAAACACAACAACATTCTGTAATCCATACATACAGTTATAGTGAAACAATATTAACATCAATGTGGATGTAGCCCAAACATTAGGTTGAACCACGATACATCTTGTGTTCTTTACTTTCTTACAAATTCACGGCCGGATTTACGTTGTCCCAAGACCCTCCAGTTTTGTGCATCAACATTTGACGCCATCTGTGGGAATCGACATGAAAAGCTATGTTGGTTCTCTTTCATTTTTTCATCTCACCACTGTGAGACATCACCACACACCACTGTGAATCTGCAAACCCAAGAGACAACCAAAACTCTCTCTGCCTTGCTCTTGCTTCTGATCTCTTTGACCTTTTCAAACAAGAGACCACAAATTCTCTCACTCTCTTTCTCTCTACCATCATTTGTCAGTTACAATCACTCTTTTCATGATGGAGGAGGATGAGAGGAAATTCCCCAATCCAATAAAAAAAAAAAACCCCCTAAAAAATCAGCAACCCTAGAACTGGGTCTCATCCGCCAACGACATGCTCTCTTTGTCCATCTTCAATCTCTCCAACGACATGCTCTTTTCCGCCAACGCACCCGCCTCGCCTCGATGCTACTCGAGTCTGAAACCGTTACCCATCTCCTTACCCACATTAAGCTCATCTTCCACCGCCGAACCACCGTAATCACTGCCCTCGACGCATGCCTTTACTCCGAGGCAATCCACCACTTCTCCAAAATTATGGATGACTGCCGCGGAGCTCCACATGGATTCCTGGCAGAGCGCTACATGTAGCTCGCCTCTGCTTTCCGGGCAACGGGGCAGATTGCCTACATGACCTGGAGCACTTGAAGCTTTTGTACAACTCCATCTTGAAGGATCGGAAGCTGCTATGGCCGGCGTGGAAGCAGCACAACGTAAGGTACAAGGAGATTCCAGGGAAGCTGTGTTTGCTGACGACCAAGATATAACAATAGAAGCAAAGGGTGGCTTCGGGGGAAACATGAAATATGGATTACTATGCTTTGATTGGGTTGCGACGAGGGTGTTCGAGGTCCGAGTTGGAGAGAGCGCATTTGCTGCTCTGTTTAAGGCACAAGCCCGATAAGGCCACTATTTTCATTGACTCATGCGAGCTAGTGGAAGATCGGGATGTTGATTCAATTAGGGATAAAGCGAGCCGGTGGACGGTTGCTCCAAAGCAGGTGGTCGGTTCAACCAGCCGGGTCGGACCCTAATCCAGTGCATCGTCTGGAACCTCCTCTCTGTTCTAATCCACCGCCAGGGCTTCTTCATATTCGTTCCTCTCCGCTACATCTTCGACATGCTCCGCTACATCAAGGTCATTTGTACGGATCCGGTTACAGACTTGCCACCGGGCATGGGAAACCAAGCACCGACCAATGATCAAACTCCTAGGGGTGCAGTCATGTGCTCACATGTCGCAAAAATAGAAAACAAAAACAAAAGCAAAAGAAAAGCAGAAAAGAAAAGAGAAAAGAAGAAACAGAAACAAAAGCAAAAGCAAAGCAGAAAGGAAAAGAGAAAAGAAGAAACAAAAACAAAAGAAAAGAAAAAAGAAAACAAGAAACAGAAACAAAAGCAAAAGCAGAAAACAAAAAAAGATAAAAAGAAGCAAAAATAATTACGATGGTGATGGCATGATTGCAGAGAAGGGAATTATAGGCACGACCCATCGAGCAGGTCCTGCGCCCCCCCCCCCCCCCGGCAACTGCCAGCTGCACATGCTATCCCATTATCCAACCATCTTCATACCCACCTTCTGCAGCAGTTTTTTTTTAAATGATGTGATTTACTTTTCTTATCTTTTGCAGACATCTGTATAAACCCACCAGAGGGTAATCATAAAAAAAAAAAAATACGGCAAGCCCAAAATAGTGGGCTAAAATGTTATGTGGAGGGCGAAGACCCATATGCCCAAAAGAGCCAAGCCGTATGACTTCATACTCCAACCTCTATCCCTCCACTTAAGGTTCACCCGTTATTATCACCCACCAGGTGATCAAAAGTACGTCTAGTACTCCAAAATTATTCGGCAGCCTGCCGCTATTATCACCAACTAGGTAATCAAAAGTACATCCAGTACTTCAAAATTATTCGGCAGCCTGCCACTATTATCACCAACCGGGTGATCAAAAGTACGTCCAGTACTCCAAAATTATTCGGCAGACTGTCGCTATTATCACCAACTAGGTGATCAAAAGTACGTTCAGTACTCCAAAAATTATACATGAGCATCACTTATGTCAATCATACATAAACATTCATGAGCATCACTCATGTCAATCATACATAAACATTCATGACCATCATTCATGTCAACATTCATGAGCATCACTCATGTCAACATCCATGAGCATCACTCATGACTATCAACATAAACATTCATAAGCATCACTTATGTCAATCAGCTTCGAAAGCTTCATTTACAGAGCTCCAGCTTCGAAAGCCTCATTTACAGAGCTCCAGCTTCAAAGCTTCATTTACTAAAGCTCCAGCTTCAAAGCTTCACGTACAAAGCTTCAATGCATGGTATACCAAGACCGCATCCGAACAACAACCACTTCGGCCCATACATGGATTGAATTTGAAGTTTCCAACCAACAGACTCTATTGACTGAAAACTTGAGGGACTACACTATGTACCATATATTGGGCTTCCGCAACTGGGCCTCATGAAAAATACTTGGGGGACTTAGCCCATTATTTATGTACTGAGGAACGAACCCTTATTCTATAAAAGGGACTCCCTCACTTTCATTAGAAAGCACCTATTATTCATGTATTGAGGAGTGAACCTTTATTTTATAAAAGGGACTCCATCACCATCATTAGATAGCATCGCTGCCTGTTGAGCAACCGCCTCGCCGCGACCATCAATTCTAGCCCATCATTTATGTATTGAGGAGCGAGCCCTTATTCTATAAAAGGGACTCCCTCACCTTCAACGCCACAAGCCGAGCCAACCAAGGCAATATAAGCCACAAGCCAAGCAGCCTCACAACATGTGCTACTTCTAGTTGAGCATCATTTCACATTGAGCACCGCCTCATATCGAGTATCAGTTCTAGACGACATCTAGTTACTTTGGCTTACACATGGACTGAATTTCAAGTCTCCAGCCAAAAGACTCTCTTGACTAAAGACTTGGGGGATTACTGTTTGTACCATACTTAGGGCCTCCGTATTTAGACGTCGTATAAATACTCGGGGGACTCAAGTGTAATTATGTAATAAATGAATGGGCAAATATGTAATAAGTGAGGAACCCTTAGTCCATAAAAGGGACCCCTCACCCTCACAATCCTCAAGCCTCACATCCCCAAACAGAGGCTCTTATATTCAGAGCATCCTTCTCTCAACTCTCTTCTTCTGTGAACCCAACAGAGGGCAATACCCTCACAAACACAACAACACTCTGTAATCCATACATACAGTTATAGTGAAACAATATCAACATCAGTGTGGATGTAGCCCAAACATTGGGGTGAACCACGATACATCTTGTGTTCTTTACTTTCTTGCAGATTCACGGCCGGATTTACGTTATCCCAAGACCCTCCGGTTTTGTGCATCAACAAATTTAAATTGCAAATGTGAGCTTTGAGTTTTATTGGAAAAGTAGAGAACTTTGGTGTGTAGGTGTAGGATAATGTGGGAAGGTATAATTCTTTATATGTTTTAGATGATAGTCAAGTGTTCAAGCTCTCTTTTTAGCCGATTTTTCGGCGTGGATAACTTTTTTTTAGGTGGGATTTGAATTGGTTCTTGTGGTTTTATTTATTTGATATGGTCTGTGAGATGTTGTTTGTTGCTTGGATGAATAGGACCCCGTAAGTTGCTTTCGAAACAGGAAAAGGCTCTGCTTAATAAGCGAAAACCTGATATAGCTGTTGCTACCTCTGCAAGTGTCCCCTTTTCTTATGATCATCATTACATGGTTAAGAAATTGTACCTCAGTGAAATCGAACCTTAAATGTTGTACCACCTATGTAAATTTGCACGGAGACGACTGTCCCCTCACGTAATCACATTGTCGTAATTGTAATTTGATGAACTTGAAGCTGTCAACTATAAAGTGTTTGCAAACTCTTTCAGAGCAAATGGCTACCCCTGCATACTCTTGCTGCATCAGGAGAATTTTACCTTATGGATGCTTTATGGAAACATAATGCTGATATCAATGTCGTGGATAAGGTATGTAAATGGCTACCTTTTACATTAGAATGTTAAATGCAGAATATTGTTCTTGGCTTTTCGATACTGATTTGAGATTTGGTTCATTTCTTCTCCAGGATGGTTGGAGCGCTTTTCACAAAGCAATTCTTGGGAAAAACCAGGCCATCACGAACTATCTTTTGAGAGAATCAGCTAATCCAGTTGTTCGTGATAAAATTCACCTAGTGTATCGCTGTATCCAGTTTGGTATTGGTGTGAAGATTATTGTTCCAATCAAATGTTTATGGTGAAAACCAGGATGGCGCCACCTTGATGCATTATGCCGTCGGAACAGCTTCCAGTCAAGCAATCAAAATTCTTCTGTTATATAATGCTTCTCATCTCCTTGATGTGGAACCGTAAGATCTGCGTATATTACGATAATTGATTGCAAGTCGTCTGCTTTCTTGCAGGAGCTAATTAAGCTGTTGAAGCTTCTTCCGAAGCCGCATTAACGGGTTGATATTCTAACCGCGTATCCGCCTCATCTGTGTCTCAGCTGGCCAAATGATAATGGCAAACCACGGTTTGATCTGCCATAACTTTTACATCGAAGTTTCAGCAGCAGCAGTCCCACTTGCGAGCCGATACTGTTACAACTTCAAAAATGCCAACCGGAATATCGAAAGGAGAACATTTGAATCTCAAAGTCATTGGCTTTCTTACTAACTTTGTAATTGTATGTAATTACGAGCTAATCAATCATGTCACGTTGTGTTGACATGTAATTGCCATGCTAAATATTTATCGAACTTTGTCAAGGCTCAAAATTTGGAGGTTAACAAATTAGAACAATTAACTCTTGATGGGTTCAAGTTTAAAGCAGTGAAATAATGGACTCAAGATTTAAGTTGTTCACCGTTCAAAATTGGGTTACATTCACTATAGTGCTCGGGATATATTAATTTAATGATTACAAGAAGCGCTCGGTCACAATCTGAATAGGCCCTTAGCGAGTCCAAAAGGTTATGGGTTCACCTACTTTATTATTTTGCCATTAAATGAGCTACCTATGTAGGATGCATCCTAGCTATTCTTTCGTATATTTGTTGACATGTTATGTTGAGGTGATGGTAACTCAGTCGGGATTACAAGTTTTTCTAGCCAAACGTGTACCGAACACAAGCTCAACCTTGACTAGTCACCAGTGTTCCTTCCTAGCAATGGTTTGGCAACCTTTACGTCTCATCCAAGGCTTCTATCTTCGCTGATGACCGACACATGGCCTAAGCTGCTATCTGAGTAGGCCTGTTCTTAAAGCTTTGTACCATAAAGCTGTCAATTTGTCCACGTGCTCATGTTGGTCAAAAAGTACTTTATATTACTTAGTCCATTCAGATTGGTGAGTGATCGGCCATAGCGCTATTCCTTTATAATTTCATTGGGCCCTGGACTTCTTTTCCTTTTTTCGACCTTGACCTTTCTTGGAACTTTTCTCGACCATTTTTTGGGCTTGTACCATTTTAAGGGTCAAAAGGAGAGATTTGGATCTCATCCGAATTCAAATTGTGGGGATCTTAAGGATCCTCATATCCTAACCGTTTATCGTATATCGTGCGGTCAAAAATCATTTAAATTTTATCATTTAAAATTAAATATAAATAGTACCTAACAAAAATTAACCGTACGATGTATGATGAACGACCATGATATGAAGATTCCCCACAAAAGGGGATCCGAGGAGGATCTTCGTCCAAAAAAAGGACCCTCTATGCATTAATAAACTTGGGAAACCTTTAAGGGAAGGAATTCCCATTTTCAAAAAAAAATTGGAAACACCCTCTTGACTGTTAGATTTGGTTTTAATGAAATTATGTGGCTTGTAATTTAACATCAACCATAGAATTTCATTAAAATTAAATCTAATGGTTAAGATGATGTCTTCATTTAAAAAAAAAAAAATAGGGACCCTTCCTCAAAGGACCTAAATAAACTTGTTATGCTAGTCGACATGTCGAGAGATAATGTTGTCAGGCCCACGGAAAACGATCGAGTTGAGTTAATTTATTCGGGGAGACATGTCTCTAAGAGGGAGGATAAGAACAAAATTATAAAATAATTAATCATTAATTAAACTCGTTAATCACATTGATTAGAAAAAGATTTAAAAACGCAGCCGCAAATGAAATATGAAAGCGCCTAGTTGAAACCGAAGCTAAGCTCAACTCTCTCTCTCCTCTCTCTCTCCTACCGTTCTCTATCAGACGTTGATATTTTTGTTTGGTACAATGCTCGGAGCCAGAGCTCAATGCCACGGCCCGGATCGCTTAGCTGCCATCCGTCCGATTCCAAACACTTCTTCTTCTTCCTCCTCCTCTTCGCGCCACTTGGTCTGCACGGTTCGGTTAGGGTTTATCAGATCACCAAAACGGTGCCGTTCGCTCAAATCGCTCCGCATTACCTGCTGCAACTCTTCCTCTCGCTCCAGATCCAGCAATGCCGACGATCATCACGATTTCGACTACATTCAAGCTTCCCTCCTTCTCTCTGGTCCCATCTCTCTCTCTCTCTCATCGCATGCATATACATATTTATATGAATCTACGGATACGGACATTTCTATGCATTCGTGATTATCGAATTGATTTTGATTTTATTTTGTTGAAATTCTTGCTACTTCGTCCGAAAGATGAAGTCTTTGTTACCTAAATTCTGCAATTTTGTCCTAAAGTGGAGTAATTTGATGCTAATTGAGTGTGATTAGGTCTTTTAAATTGTTTATTTGTGTTTAATTACTGCAGAAACTATATCTCACTACCGTATGCAAAGGCGAGGATTTCAAGAAGAGACGAAATGGCAGTCATCTGGTAAAATGCGTCCCTTTTCCGTCCGAGCCAGCCGACAACATCATTTTTTCGATACGTTAGGCCGAAACTTTGTCCAGCGTTTCCAAAGTCCGACGATTTTTCTGAAGATTTCTTGTGATGGAGACTTTTTGCTTCCAATTGTTGTAGGTATATTAAGTTATGCGTGTCATACGAATGAATGTGAATGTAATTTGGAGTACACATCCTCGGTCATTAAATTTCGTTATCTGGTTTTTGTTTTCAGGTGAATTCGCGATCGAAAATCTCATAGACGGCCAATGGGGAGATGAGAATGGGGTAACTGCATGAACTTTGTAATTCATTTGGTTGCATTGATGCCTTCTTGTGTAAAATGTGTATTGATCCCAGAATCGGTCTTGCTGCAGGACTCCCCGGATCAATTTCACTTTATGAGAAATCTCGTTGACAAACTCGGCTATCAAGTATGGAGCTAATTTTTTTCCATGTATTAAGTTTATTTTTTGAAGGGCCGAAGATAATGCTTTGGTCGTTTGTCCTTTTCTTGCTTTAGCTAGTCACTAGTCTCACTTATGTTTATTGCATGTTCATAAGAAATCTAATGATACCAATAAGTAGATTTAGAAGTGAGTGTTGAGAAAGGACTGCAAGTATGTAATTTGTCTGACTTAAAAGGACATCCATAGTCTTCAGATCCCTAATGGGTAGTGTTGCATTTTAATTGTACTAAATTAAATTTCCAAGTTCAAGGTGGCATGTAAAACCATTTAGATCATTGTCTTATTTATGTCAATTCTTCAATTCCAGGTGAATATGGTGAGAATTACGGAAAGAGTGCGGAATACTTACTTTGCCAGATTGTACTTAAGCAAGGTGGTAAAAGTTAAAACCCTGATGAGTTATGTCCTAATCTTTTAAAGAAAATGAAGCAAGCTTTTGACATTGAGGTTCCTGTTTTGCAGCCAGGGGAAAATGGCTTTCTTAGTGTTGAAGCACGCCCGTCAGATGCCATAAATTTCGCACATAGATGCAAGGTATCTATCTCGTCTTCATCAACACGAATGCTCATACTTTGTCAATAAATATTCCTGCTTCTTCATGTGCAAGAAGAAACTTTCTGTTTAAGCATGATCGTGTTGTTGAAATTGCTGTTAAGTTCGACTGTTCGAGTGACACTTGCCATGTGCAGGCACCCATATATGTAAACAAACAGATTGTCTTAACAGATGCGGTGAGGATCAGTTATGGGATGGGCGGAGGGCGCGAGACAAAGTCTTGTTATGACGTATCTCTTGACAGGTACCGCCAACTGAATTGTATTTTGGGGGCCTCTATTTTGCTTCATCATTCTTTTGTGTACGTCTGATCATATGTTATATTCTTTTCAGTGCTATAGAGGGCCCAGATTCTTTAATTCAAGAACTTGGTTTGGTCAAGAATATCAATCAAGCTATCAAAGAGGAAAGATATAAAGATGCAGGTATTTTATCAGGACTTCAATTCACTGCTTTTCTAACATATACAATTACCAAGTCACGTTATGATTTCCCATCGTTTTTTATTTCATCAACTTGCTTTGGATTGCTTGATTCATGTTTATATGGTTATTGGATAATTTGCAAATTAACGACTTGTTCCTGCAGCCATATGGAGAGACGAACTATTCAAGCTTCGCAAGTCAATTCAAGGGCCATGATCACTATATAAGGTTATTCCGATCTAATGAGTCGTTTCTTCTACGAATATGCCTTCTAGACCTCTGGCATAGCTTTTCATTGTGAAGATTATGGTGCAAGGAAAACCTTTACGAGTTATTGGATGACGAGGGAACTTCTATAATATTTAATGTACAGCCACCTTAGAAATTTTCCCCAAATATGTAAATATTAATCGTGTATCGAGTTCCCTAAAGGCGGTCAATTTTATTTGGAGATGCATATCCACAACTCCACTGTCTGTAAATCTTACGAAACTGTTGTATTTAAAGAAGGATCAATAGTGTTTGCCCAAATTTTTTTGAATCGAATCGAAAGAATCTTCCTTCTTTCAAAAGATAATGGATGTTTCTACTGAAATTTACGTTCTTTGGACTCTAAAGTTTGCGTATTAGAATCCTTGACAACGATAGCTGTTCTTTTGTGTTCCAACAGAAGTTACTCGTAATTTGAATCATAACGCTTGAATTTGGATTCGTAGTATATTTGTTTATCTCATTATTTTTCGCCAAATTACAAAAGATGTGTGACGCGAACATAAATTTCATGTCACGTGTACTCCAGTAGCTACATTCTTCACCAGTATGAACATGTGCACTTTGCAGACAAGAGAACAAAAAGATGAACTGAAATGGAAGCCAGCAACGAGAGTTGCTGCATGCATTCTTTGAACGATAAAAAACGGGGAGGTACTGCTAAACTTATTACATTTCCAGTACAATACTTCGCTCCTGCCGTCTGCAAATGGACGGAATCCGAGGATTCTGCCATCGAATCTGTGTAGACATCTTCTCCCCGTCTCCCCACAGAGCGTAGGCTTCTTCCCCATGCGCAGCATCGTCACCAATGTCGAGGTCCTCTTCCTTCATTCGAAGATCAACAATGCGGCTGATCAAAATACAAATCAAGCTCGTGACAACGGCGTTCCATACGATGATGAAAAGTGCTCCAACGATCTGGTACCCCATTTGTTGGAGGCCAACTTTTGTTTTCCCATCATGGATGCAGTACATTAAACCAGGACCGTATGTATTGTACGGGTACATCATTCGGAGGAGGTTGGGTCGGGCAAAGAAGCCCGAGAGGAGTCCCCCCAAGAGGCCGGCTACTGCGTGCGTATGGAAGGCCCCCAAAGTGTCGTCGACGCTTTGGAAGAAGGCTGACCTTCTGTGCAATATCATCATGGTGTACCAAGGTATTGAGCCAGACATTACTCCCATTATTACTGCTGCCCATGGCTCCACAATCCCTGCTCGATCATGTACATATTATTGGTGGAATGCTGCAAAATTTCTTGTTTTTTTACTTTCTTAAATAAATCAAAACCCAGTTCATAAACATTCCTAACCATCATGTTCTTGTTTTTATGACACCAATGTTTAGTTGTTTAAGTTAATGTATTTTGTTAGATATATGACGTCTTATGTTGTCAGATTGTTTGACGCTCGACTTTAAAACAAGAATCCACTTGATCAACGAGAGGACGTTTTCATTGGTTTGGTCAATTGAGCAAGGAGTAGATTACCTGCACCAGGGGTGATGCAGACGAGGCCGGTGATCATCCCCTGGACCGCACCGATCACAGAGCTTTTCCGGTAGCCCAGCATGTCAAGGGAAACCCACACCAGAAGGCTGGTGGCAGTGCAGATATGAGTGTTCAAAATGGCCAAAGATGCAATCATGTTTGCCGCAAATGGAGATCCTCCGTTGAATCCTGTCCATCCAAGCCACAAAAAGCCTGCACCTCCCAACATGTGAATTATGTTGTTTGGTGGAAAATGTTGCCTGTCATGCGCTTGCCTTGGTCCTACCTACATGATCATCACCATACCACTCCATCATGCCAGGAAAATCTAACACGAAAAACATACGAAAGAAAGAAGTGAAATATCACAAATACAATTGGTTATTGGTTATACAGGCTGTTTATGAGAAGGGATCCCTATTTTTTTTTAAATGAAGATTAGTTATGGGGCCCACTTACATCGACTTTCATTTATCAGAATCATGTATTTTTCAAGTTGCACCTTATAAATCATCCTAACAAAATATTAGCCAAATCGGAAATATTTGAGGTATCTAATTGAGTCCAGAGAAAGTAACGAACATTATATTCTAGGGAACTTTAACGAAAAGCTTTCGGTACTGTTTACTTTAACGAAAAACCACATTTTTATACTAAAAAATCAATCTTGGTACTATTCACTTTACTCTTTATTTTGTTCTTATCGTTAAAACCCAAAAGTTTTCAAATCATTTTCAATAGTTTTCTTTATATTCTAAAAAACATAGAAATTTCATTATGAGAATTAAATAGGCAAATGGTTTCGGATTGAATTGATTTTTTGCAAAGATTTTATATTAATCGAGACTTAGAAAATCGACAGTTGGATCACTGAATTTCGATATAGAATGGGTTCCAAAACTAATTTCCATTTTAAAAAAAAATAATAGGAATCTCTTCCCTTAAAGAATCTAATTGGTTATAACCATGTAATAAAAAAGACAACTGAAGGCGCACCAAACAAAGAATATAGATGCACCAAACTATTGTTTATTATTTACGGCTCACTGTCTATTTTGTGTTTCTCGGTTCTACTCTTGATAAAATTTGTAAGCGATTTCGTTTGTGCATAAAAAGCATAACTAATGATAACGTATGGCATATTAAGCATAGAGTTGGGTGTCAAGATCAATTACCCAATAAGCAGCAGTGAAACCAGCCACACCAGAAGAAAGATGGATCACAAAGCCACCAGCGTAATCGATGATGTGCTCTTCAAGAAACCCTCCCCCCCAAATGGTAAAGGCACCCACGGTGTAAGACAAGGTGAGCCACATTGGCACAAACAGCATCCAGGCATAGAAGTTCATCCTCCCAAGGAGGGAACCACCGAGCAAAATCACAGTAATGGCGGCGAAAACAAATTGGTAGTACACATAGTCGGCCGTCGGAATATAACGCCCGTCGTAGTCCGACAAGAGAAACTTTTGGCTCAGGGCAAAACCGGGTTTTCCCAAAATTGAGCAAAATTTTGCACCGAATGACATGTTGTGGGCCCACATGACCCAACATACTAGGACCGCGGCAAAAGCGTATAGGGCCATGAACGCTGAGTTCACGGCCCATTTCTTCTTCACCATGCTCCCGTAGAGTATCACAAGGCCAGGCACACTTTGCATGCCTACCATGGTGGTTGCTATTAGCTGCCACCCATTGTCTCCTTTGTTCATCCATTCCGGCGACGCTTGGTCCGGATAGAGATTAACTGGGCCGTTAAGAAGCGGATAACCGTCGGTGTTGTTCATCGAAAAGAGAAGAAGAGAGGAGAGAGAGTTTGTTGAAATTTTGGAATAACTTACCAGCAAGGGAAATATATAAAAAAAAGTTTTGAGCTTTGGAGTTTTGCTTGATGTTGTTGTACTTTGTAACAATCTACAGGTTTGGATTTTTGTGTACAAAGAATATACACAACATTCATTGCTGGCTGATGTTACAGATTCAATTTGAAATTCTTGAAGCAGTAAGGAGGTTGTACCATAATTTGGGTGCAATTAAATTAAATTAATAGAATTTTAACGAAAAACTTCTGGTACTGTTTATTTTAAAGAAAAATTATATTTTTACATTAAAAAGTCAATCATGATACTATTCACCTTACCCTTTATTTTATTCTTATCACTAAAACTCAAAGTTTGCAAATTATTTTTATTAGTTTTCTTTTAAATTAACTCAATTGGGTGCTAATTTATGTTTGTTCTCTGTGATTTGACATGTGGACCAAATTGAAAAAAATGAGATATTGATTGAATAGCTGCAAGCGTCTTTTTGAGTTTTGTGAATCCAAGGGGTTATAGTTGGGTTGGTAAAAGTGTTGCAATAATAATCACTCGATGATCGTTCTTAAAGTAGAACATGATTTTTTTTTCCAGATATTTTGTATTTGGATAGTGTGGATCAAATAATTTCAACCGTTTATGTAAAATCATGCTATTGAGATTACTTTTCATTTTCAACTTTCTCACTCTCTCTTTCTTCTCAACTTCTTTACCTTCTTCTTCGATGGTGTGTTGAGAAAGAAAAGAAGAAGAAAATGGGAGGGGGTTAAAGGTCCGACACTGTTTACTTTAATGAAAAATTATATTTTTACACTAAAAATTAATTATGGTATTATTCATTTTATCTTTTATTTTATTTTTATCATTAAAACTCAAAATTTTTAAATTTTTTTTATTAGTTTTCTTTTAAATTAACCCAATTAGGCGCTAGTTTATGTTTGTTTTATGTGATTTGACCTGTGGACCAAATTGAAAAAAAAAAAGAGATATTGATTGAATAGCCGCAAGCGTTTTTTTGAGTTTTGTGAATCCAAGGGGTTAGTCGGGTTGGTAAAAGTGTTGCAATAATAATCACTCGATTTTCGTTCTTAAAGTAGAACATGATTTTTTTTTATTCAGATATTTTGTATTTGGATCGTGTGGATCAAATAATTTCAACCATTTATGTAAAATCGTGATGTTGAGATCACTTTTCATTTTCAACTTTCTCACTCTCTTTCTTCTCAACATCTTTACCTTCTTCTTAGATGGCGATTGACGAAGCAAAACCTTTGAGAAAGAAAAGAAGAAGAAAATGGGAGGGGTTAAAGGTCGGAGAAATATGCACTGGAAATTGAGGTGGAAGGGGGAGGAGAAGATGAGTGACGGTAGGGAGGTCCGTAGGTTTCAGATGAAAGGGGATACAAAGAGGATCTGTTCCCCATTAAAAGGGTTGGCTCTCAAGATACTTATTTGGATTTAATGGTTGTGCGAGTTGTAAAGTATGTTCGTCCAATCGAGATTTGATTCTCTCCTTTTTACTATACATGAACTTTGAGGTTCCTTAAGAGCAGTTCCATTGGGGCTTGATAGCCCGACGCCCAATCCAAAAAATAGACCGGCCTCCCTCATTTATACTCCACCCCAGCCTAATAGGCTGGCACCTAGCCCAAGCCAGGCAACAGGCTAGCCCAAAATCGACAGACTTGTTGATTGGCCCATCTGACGCCATGTTGATGCCAACGTGGCGTCATAGGCCGTTTGAATTTTTTTTTTACGCCAGGTACATAGGAAGCACGCGCAACTGGGCGCGCGTCGCCGACAAGAATCCAGAGCCGGGGCCCACTTGCGCAGGCGCACTCAGCTCACCAATAGGGAGGCCATGTGGCTGGTCCTGGCTATTGTATTTCCAACGGTAAAAAAAATTTGAATTTGAATTTTGATCTGGACTGTCCAATCACAGATCAACGGTCCACATTTTTTCCCAATTTTTTTTTAAAAAAGGCATAACGGTCTGAATTATG